CCCGACTGTGAATGATGCGAGCGGCGTTATGTTGTCCGTGAGAAGCTGCAGCCGTGGCGGGGAGCATGTTTGGTGTGCTGGTGTTCTGAAAAATTATGCTGCCTATCAGATTATGCTACCAACAAATCATTAGAACACCGGCAGAACAACAACAATGTGCTTCATGTTTCTTTTCCTCATTTTTTCCAATTGAAGGAAATTCGTCGCAGCAACGGAAAACTTTCATCCCTGAGTAGTATTATGTACATCATACTGCACACCACAGTAATATATTTCTGATAATTTCATTAAGCTAACCCGAACTTGTATTGTGACGGGTTGCCATGAGGAACTTGTTTCTGTAGCCTATGTAAATGATATGAAGATAGTTTTACTCCAATGAAACTGTCAAATGCTCATGAAGTGACTCTCAGAGGGATCAGAGCAGTTCTGGAGATGTTGTTCATGTATTTATGTCCTCGTAGTGAGAAGACAGATGCTGAAATCAGTGCGAGCGTCGCACACTTTGTATGTGTAGAAAACAAAACCACGAGTCTGTGCCATTTACTTACACAGAGACACGCAGAACATGCTGGATTCATATTTAAATAGTATTTTTGCGGCTTAATATTTACAGATACTAGTCCATATTGCGACTCTATTTAAGTGTACTGACCTACTTTTGATTAATTCATCCAAACTTTGACAAATTCCGTGACATTCCGCATCATACAGTAAATTCCATTTATATAACTGGATTCCGCGATTCCGTCCACATTTTCTGCATCGCGGAAATCATAGATAATATTGAGGTGTTTTGCAACTTCAGTGCAACGTTAGTGGATTGGGATCTGTTGCAACTTAAGCAACATCTGCTGCTATCTTACCTTACCTAGAGACAACTGATGCGTGATCACTGAATCAGCTGCAGTTAGCAAGCGCTTTCGGAGTGAGAGTGAATTCCGCATTGATTGGTCGGACTCATGACTCCCAACAAATCAGATGAGCAGTGGGCGGAGATTGCTTTAGGCCACAGAGTGGTGAGTTCTGACAGGCTGCATCAGAGCCAAATAGCGCTTTTCAAAATTAAGTTATTTTATCGGCGAATCGGTTTGGAAAATGACCGATACCGATAATCATTAAAAAAATTATATAGGTGGCGATAATCGGCCAGGCCGATAATCGGTCGACCCCTATCAGCAACTGTATTATTAGATAGTTTTTCCATGTTCCATTTTCAATGTGTTACTGTTTTGTAAGACACTAACCGTATTGGCCCGAATATAAGACGACCCTGATTATAAGACGACCCCGCTTTTTCCAGATGTACCTTTTGGAAAAAAGGCTTTTTAAAAACCAAATCTGGTTTTTTCTCAGTAAAACACATTTCGTCTTCAATTATTTTCTTATTGCATATTTTTGCTAATTTCATTGTTGTTTTGGAAGTATGGTAAAAACTGGTAAAATGTACCAACAATCACATTTAAAAAATATACACTTTTTGATATACCATTAAAAAAGAAAAAACAGGTAGCCCATCTGAATTAGGACATTTAGGCTATCCATCTAATAGTAGCTTACCAAAATCTTATTAACAGTAGAAGTTAAATCTTACTGTAGTCTTCAAATCTGGGTACTGTCTTACGTTTAAAATCACAAAGAGAGTTTGGTCCCATCAGGCTAACGTGACAGTCACGACTTGTGCAGCTGTAAGCTTTTCTTTTGTTTATACTCGCGATCTTTACAACACGCATTACATTACGTATTTCATAGCACACTCGTTTAATGCGTATTTGGCGCAACCTATTGTTGTGGGTGTATTATTGACATGTCAAAGTCTAGACCCTGAATATAAGATGACCGCGTTTTTTTCAGATGTATTTCCAAGAAAAAAAACATCGTCTTATATTCGGGACAATACGGTATATGTAGTAAAACTCATGCAAGTTATAGGTTTGTGTTTGTCTATTATTGGGATGTGCCAATGTTAAAATTATGGGTTATATTAATAGGTCAAAGGTGTCATTGGCAACATTATTATTTTCATATTATTGTCAGTATTAAAATTTAGTACTATTTTGCCTAAATAAAAAAATAGGAAAATGCATTATTTCTAATTCTACAAAAGGCATCATAGCTTTAAGACTGTATACTGTATAGAGCCCGACCGATATATCGTTTTGCCGATATTATCGGCCGATATGAGCCTGTCACCGATATATCGTTATCGGCGAATATGCCGCTGATATGAATTTTTTTTTTACAGAACATATAATGCAGATAAAATGCTTGAAATGGTGTAATTACTTAGTTTGTCCAGCAGAGCACGCTCCATTGTTTGCTACTGGCGATCTGGATGAAACGCTTTAAAGCTTAAGTCTATGGAAAACCATTGAAATTTTGAACGGCCATATCTCCATAACGGCGTGGCGAATCCGCACCAAATTTGGGGGATCCCTTCAGCTCGAGGAACCCTCTTGAACGCGAATCGAGTGTACGTTTAGAGGCCCGCTTTTGAATGAGACCAACCCCCGCGTCGATGGCCCCCGGGGTTCGGGAGTTACGGGTGGTTAAGTTCGCGCTCCGGCGCCGACAGATCAAGTGATCCCGGGGGGGCTACCGTCACGCGGAGGGTGGCGTTCGAGAGGGCTCCTCGAGCTGAAGGGATCCCCCGAATTTGGTGGAGATCCGCCGCCACGTTCGTGAGATAGTGACACCAGTCAACACTTTCCCTTCAGTAAGGAGGTTTCTTGTTCAGGCAGCATTCACGCGTTGTCTTATTCGACCGTAAGCGCCCTGCGAAGTGGACTTCACATGAAAGTCAGCCATGATTCCAGTTCAAAGGGAACACGTTACATTCAAAGGGCATTAAAGTGTGCGAGACATGAATTTATATTATATTTATTTACAGAGGTATATTATGTCACACTTCACACTTTGTAAGTAAGTTTCGTCTGTGTGTGAAGACAGTAGTGCATGAATGAATGTTCCAAAGTGAAAAACTTCAACGGAATAAAGTTGAATGGAATTGAATTGAATAAACTTAAACTTTACTGTTCAGTGCACTGATGTCAGACTCATTTTGGAGAATAACGTTTATTGTTAAATTGTTAAATGCCCTGCCTCCATTATGTATCTCTGTCACATAATTATAAGTGTTTGATCACCACATTTGAGTGATCATTGCAAAAAATGTGTTTATATTTATATATATATATATATATATATATATTACCAGTAAAATGTTTGGACACACGAATTGGAAAGTGTCCAAACTTTTGACTGGTACTGTACTATAATATACACAAAGAATATCGGCCATTTTTTACTCCCTAATATCGGTATTGGCCCCAAAAAACCCATATCAGTTGGACTCTAGTACTGTATGCATAAAATAATTTGAGATTCAATAGTTTACATATAACAGTGTTAGTAAATTGTTACTGTAACTGCATGCACTAAGTAAATTAACTGTACAAATATGACTTGGAAATAAGTATGCATGCACAATTAAATATGATAACAGTTTATTAATATATCTGTAATATAAATCAATATCAAATGTGGTTTTGATAAATTGTGCATCCCTGTCTTACACTGTTTTGCCATGCAACCATGCAAATTTGGTGACAGGAAGATTTTTTTTCCCCAAGACTTTTATTTTTCAGCAAGGATGCATTAAATTTATCAAAAGTGGAAGTAAAGACTTTTGCATTGTTACAAAATATTTATATTTCAAATAAATGCCACTCTTCTGAATATTTATCAAAGAACCCTGAAAAAATGCATCACTTTTTCCACAAATATAATGATGATAAATGTTTCTTAAGCAGCAAATTATCATCATAGGATGAAGTCTGGCATAATAATACATATTAAAACAGTTATTTAAAATTGTAACAATTTCACAATATTACAGTATTATTGTTATTATGGTAGTGTGTCTTTAAAGTGCTCTTAAAAAAATAATGCCATGGCTATCTAAATATATCATTATTTATTATTGTTCTGGCTGTTATTACACACTTCTCTTTCTCCATTGTAAGGTTCGGGAGCATAACCGTAAATTACGGAAAGTGGCAAAGAAGAAAGGGATAAGCCGAAAACCAAAGAAAGATATTGGAGTACCGAACAGTGCTCCTTTTAAAGAGGAAGTGCTTCGAGAAGCTGAGCAGAGAAAACAGGAGGTATGATCATCACCAAAACCACAGACACCGCAAAACCCTGGAAATCAAATGGCAGTTTTCCATTTTCCATATGGACCTCACAGTTAATAACTGGCCATCACAGTGTTTGGTATATATATATATATGTTACTGTTTCTTGACTTTTGTAAGCAGCAACATCAATTATGTCAGTATCGTGATTCAGTTTTTATTGCCAGTTTACTGAGGTGGCCCTGCCAGATTGATGACCCAAAATTTAATTTTCAATAAGATAAAGTATAGGGGGAAAAACAACAACAACAAAAAGATCGGCATTTCAAAGATCGGCAGATATTGTCATCTCAAAATGTTTATTTTACAGCAACAGAGGAAGCAGAGAGGAATCAATGCAGTTCTGGATCACAGCAGAGCAGCTTCATGTTTTGGAAGAGACTGTCTCCTACAGACGCTTACTGACTTGGCTAACAAGAAGGATGCCGAGACCATGCTTAAAGTTGGTGTTGTCGGTAAGATTTCCTGTCATTTTTATGGACCACAGTAACCTAATGAAGCATTGCTAAAAAAATAATCCAACTCTGAAATAATTGACTCTTTTATGCATTTCTATTAAAAATTTTGATATTGAACCATCTGCGGTTGTCTTGACTTCAGGTTTCCCTAATGTCGGAAAGAGCAGCATCATCAATAGTCTGAAGGAAGTCCGAGTGTGTCATGTTGGTGTACAGAGAGGAATGACCAGGTAAAGCCTGACTATTGGGTGTCCTTGCACATGTGAATTTGAAGCATGATGAACTGTATTAGACTGACCAAAGCATGAAGTCTTCAATCAATCCAACACTGAGCTTCATATCCCACAGTGCGCTTCTGCCGCAGGGCGTTGAGGTACAGCCTCAATAACATTCTTTCCCCCATACAGATGTAAGCAGGAAGTGCATATTACTAAGAGGCTGAAGATGATCGACAGTCCAGGGATTGTGGCGGCCTCCAGTAACCCAGGAGATGTGATGGCCCTCAGGAGCTTGCAGGTGGAGGAGAAGGAGGAGAGTCCACTGGAAGCGGTCAGGACTCTGCTGAAACAGTGCAATCAGCAGCATGTAAGGAACGCCACTGCTCATGACATCAAAACTGAAGTCCGTTAGTTCACCCAAAAATGAAAATTCTGTCATTTACTCATCCTCATGTTGTTCCAAACACGTATGAGTTTCTTTCTTCTACTGAATACAAAAGGAGACATTTTGAAGATAAGGGTAAGCAAACAGTTGATAGAGACCCCATTGACTTATACAATATGGAAGTGTATAGTGTAGTATATTGTAAAGTGTGTCATTTGGGACTCAACTAATGTCTTTGTTGCATTAACGCTCATGCTTCATACTAGGGCTGGGCGATAAATGATAACGAAACAGTGCTGACAAACAGGAGAAACGCTGTGCGCAATCATACAGTCAGAAGGCTTTTCAATCTACAAATTACATTTACTATGGATTTATTGTAGTAACACGAACCACACCATGGTATTGTGGCAGAAATGTGGGATAGTCATATCACATTTTATTATATTATTTATATAGAAATGTATTAAATGAGTAATGGAATATAATTACAGTTTTTTTTTTTTAAATTATTAAGCTATAGCATTTGTGCATTTATACTGATTTTATTTAGTACCGTTTTTCATACAAATTATTAGAGACCATATAGTTATATTTTTATCATGGTTTTGAGGTGCTATATGTGTGGTTTTAACTGCGGTTATCATGATCTAGATGTATGCTATTATGGAAGACCAGTGGTTAATTTTAATAAAACTCAAACAGTCAGAATAATACAATTTCTCCATGAGGTTGCGACAATTTTTACTGATGTTACTGTTTTGATAATGCACATGAATTTACATCTGCATCCTAACTCAAGGTGTTGTCAGATGTGCATTTCTAAGCGATGAAATTTTTTTTATGTTATTAATATTGCAGCCTGCAATGCCAACGGTGCTGAAGATATGAGTCGTCAAAGTCAGGGAACACAAACCTGTTTCATGATTTGATATACCTCTTTAGAAAATCCAGAAACTAAGAAATGAATTTTTATATTACAATATTTTTAAGGAAGAATGAGTGGAAAAGTGTAAGCAATTCAAAAATTGTAAAGTGTTTGTCATTCTCTGACCATAAAGCGTAGTTTAAAACCACAATTAACGGTCTGATTTCTACAACTATCACATAGAAGAAATCTGCCTTTAAACTTGAAAGAAATAAAAATGATAATTATCGATATTGACTGATATATATAATATATATATATATATATAGAGAGAGAGAGAGAGAGATTTTTTTTGTTTTTTGCCATATCGCCCAGCTCTATTTCATATTCTCCTGAATTGGTTACAAAGGAAATGGTTGGAATTGAATCATTTTGAAAGCATCAACATCTCTTATGTCCACAGTATATTTGTTTTTTGCCATATCGCCCAGCTCTATTTCATATTCTCCTGAATTGGTTGGAATTGAATCATTTTGAAAGCATCAACATCTCTTATGTCCACAGTATAAGACATCAGGTATTCTGGTTTGTGATGTAATTGATCGGGCAGCTTCTAAAACTAAGGGGGATTTCATAGAATGTATCAGAACTTTAACAGTGAAAATACTTTTTCTATTTCAGCTTACTGTGTTTTTAAGGGGGTTCATTTCTCTTTAACCTCATATAAATAAGATGATCTTCTCTCATGTGTCTCTTTCAGATAATGTTACTGTATAATGTCCCAGACTACAGAAACTCCTTAGAGTTCTTGACCACCTTTGCCAAGAAACGAGGCTTCCTGCAGAAAGGAGGCGTTCCAAACACAGAGCTGGCAGCCATGACATTCCTCAGCGACTGGACCGGGTCAGTTTCAGATGATGTTCATCATACCTTCAGAATGTGATGCTGAAATAACACTGTTACTGGCAAACGTCTTCCTAAGCTTTGTGTGATGTTGTTTTAGGCCAAAACTGAGTTACCACAGCAGAGCTCCGGAGCACCAGGGCCTCCCCTCATACCTCACTGATGCCATCGTGACTGAACTGAGGTCAGGTTTGGATATGGATGTAGTGAGGAAGGGCAATGAAAATGTTAAGAAAGGTACGTCTCAGATTGGAATGATTTGATCCTCTAATGGTTACAGTTTATTGAACGAATCAGATCAGTTTTGATATTTTAAGTTGTGGAAATTGAACAGTGTACCTGTCCTCAGGTGTGCGATTTCCCAACCTAGCGAGCAGTATAAGTTTTAACGCAAGGGGCCCAACCGCTGGTGTGCTGAATGTCAGTGAGCTACCTAAAGAAACCATAACAATCACAGCACCAACAGAAGCAGACGAGAAGATGGATGGGACCGTCAACACAGAGGAGGTACTTCATATGAGAGGCTACGAATCATTCAGTAATGATGCTTTACACTTCTGTCATCAGAGACAATGAGAAATGATGAGTTTGTTGTTCACATAAGTCCTTGATGACCTTCTAATCCAACTCTGATCTCACTCTGACAGAAACTCTAGTAGATTTGATATTCACAAACCGTATCTGAGACAAATTTCATTGTTTCTCAGAATGCACATTGAAAGTTCAGTGCAACTTAAGATCGGTCATGCTGTTAATTACTACAGGAAATGACTTTGGCTTGGTGCAGTACGTAAAACTCATGTTTAGAGTAATGCGTTTACAGTACTTCAAAGCATTCAATTAGGATAAATGTTCCAACACGCAGTTTTAAAAGTGTAGCCACAAGGCATTTAATATGCTGACATGAGATTAGTTTGATGTGCTAAATTATATCCAATATGTTCAACTCTTTCCATATCCACTAGGGCTGTCAAATACAAATTTGAATTTCGAATATCCGTTCGAGTTTAAAATAAAAATCCAAACATTTCAATTTTAGGTGTGCGTAATGCTGCGTTATCAGTGGCGCACAAAATGCGATGACGATGTAAGTGTTGTTGCTTTTTAATGTTTTTGTTAGCCTATACAGTTGAAGCCACTAGATGCGGCGCTGCTGTGATGTTCATTTAAAATCATGCGGAAAAATAGAACAAAACTGAAACCAAGCCATTCACACAGAACACATTTTTGTAGAGGGACATCTATCACTGTTGCACTCGCATCTTGCACAAGATGAAGCCTGCATGTTATGAAGCCATATAAAATTCAAATTCAACTTTTAAAAACATGTCTTGAGACTTTATGGTGGGGTTTTTTTTTCCATCCCACTGTATCATGTTTTTAAATGAAAAAGTACTCTGTGTGATTGGCTTTTGTCCCTTTGTATTACACTATGCATACATGATGCTGTTTATGCTGACTTATAAACATTATGCACTTTTGTCACAGATAATAATGCTGTTTTATTGCTTTAATAAGCGTGTATTAGTAATATTTTGCTCGATACTCCCTCTTGTGCCCTCATGAGAGAAGACAATGTTTTTTTCCCTTAACTGAAATTATGCCTTTTAAATTTGAATGTTAATAATATTTAAATGCAAAATTCGAATTGAGTTTTTCAGCCATTTTGACAGCCTTGGGGCCAGTTTTATTAAATGGGGCAAATTAGCGCGAGAGTGTAATTCCAAAACAGCACAGATTAGCGTGAAACTTTCTGTGGGTGATTTACTAACAACGCACAAATTAAAGAACATGGACGCAACATATTTTTACATATCGATCAACACAATGTACCAAGCGCAAATTAGCGTAGTCGTGAATAAATAAAGAAGCCACAGTATGTTTTGATAGAGCTGGTATTGCTTGACTCCTAGTTGAGGGTTCCAAGTCGTCTTTTATTTCCTGAAGCAAATTAAAAATAACGTGGCTTGGCCAAAGGAATGTTCGAATAATGTGTTCTTCTGGCATTCAAAATAAATTAATACATGTGGAAGAAAATCCTCTCCCTTAACGCCCTCTTTTCTCTGCGGTGTCTCCTCCTAGCAACAATAATTGCAGCCATTTCAAGCGCAAAATAGTGAAAGACATGCTTTTTTGGCCATTTAATTATAGCACAAATACCAGTAATTTGACGAGCACAAATGTTAGTAAATCTCGTTGCATGATTCATTTTAATACACTTCCTCCCATAAATTTTGGGTCTGAAAGGGAAACTCCTACAAATGCATATTCAATAAGGTGAGTGGTAAAAATAACCACGCCTTTTCAGCGCTAATTCTTCACTGTGTGTCTTTAGTAAATCGTGGCAGTGCTATTTTAACAAAAGATGGTTTGCGCTGGCATTTTGTATTTTGATTAAACATTACGAGGTCAATCATTTAAAAAATAAAAAAAACATGAATCATTTACAATAAGACCAATAACATGGATTTACAAAATAGGGTGAATTTATTTAATGCCAACTGTAAAGGCGTATTTTTTTCACAAACTGAGTGACAAGTCTACAGTGTTTTGCTGTCTATAGAGCTTGTTTTGTTCCCAGCACATTATTCAGTACTCTGAATTCAGTAAATGGCTGATGTTGAATATTGATTGGCACACTTTGTTTTTCAGCCTGAGGCTGAAACTCAAGTTTCAACAGTGGTGACACAGATTCAAGAATCAACAAAAAAGAGAAAAGGTTTGTTTTGTGATCTACACTTATGAACTTCCTCTGATTTTTATTTTATTTTATGAACTTCTGACAATCTCAATTGTTTTGCCTTTTATCTTCTGTAGCCAAACCAACTAAAAAAGTGAAGTATGTCCCTGTCAACATTGACCTGACTTCAGTGCAGCATAACAATGACGACGCATATGACTTCAACACAGATTTTGTGTAAAATTTCACCAGTATGTACAGATTTATATGGACTGAGAGGAATCGAATTGTGAAACTGCACTCAGTTGGAGTGCATACTGTGTGATCTGTCTATGTATTAATACATCATAAAATGTATTTAGTTGACTAAATAAAAGTTGAATACGCTTACATTGCATACAAAACTTATACTGAGCTTTATTCAATACTTTGTTGGAACACTTTTTTCCTATATGTACAAATTGGCATATTTTTCCCTTCGGGTTGAGGACAATGCTGAGTAACAGCTGATATGTGGAGAGAAAAAAACATGCATCCATAGAAATGTAACAACACTGAACACAACATAAAGGGAAAGTGGTTCCTGTAGTGTCAAAAACAGAAATTCTGAAATTTTAATTGTCACAGGTTTTTGTCTCGAGCCCTAAAGCGGTCTAAAATACTTTATAATGAACATTTCAAACATTTCAACATACATTTCAAAATTAAGAACAAAAAGAGTGGGTCCATAATTTCACCCAACAGTATTTGGGATCATACCTCTTGTTAAAAAAAATCTAGACACTTGCATGGATGCAACATACAAAATGAAGATTTTAAAAGGTGTACCATAAATGGTTTAGTGTTATTACTTTTGATTTAGACAGTGAATGCTGAGGTAGTGCATTGGTGTCGAATGTTGCCTATTGACTGTTGTTCTGTTCCAATGTTGGTCCCAGTTACTTGGGTACTCTTAGGTTTCATGAAGGCCCCATATTTTGCATCCAGACATCCTTTAAACATCCCCGAACAAAGTCAAATATCTGCCTCAGAGTCCACCCCTCCCCCCCTTTTTTTCGTGTAGCCCAAACCAGGGTCTATTTTTCCTCAGCGGGTCTCCGGATTGGGTGGAATTTACCTGTGGGATCTGGAATGTACCATTTGTCCCAAATGTCAGAAAAAGAGGAGGCTCTTCCCCATGGCTTATAATGTCCGTTCCAATGGAGAAGTTTGGCAGCCTTCACAAACTGAGGTGAATACCGATTCCCAGCTCCTGTCACCCCTAGAAATGTAAACAAATAAAAAAATAGTTGGTTGCTAAGAGATTTACGAAGGCGTTTTACATTTATGAACCACAGCATTTCCTTACCGAGGTGTCGGACGTGCCACATTGGATCAATGTCTGAGTGGTGCTTGTAGAATACAATAAGCATAGGCGGTGTTGTGATGCTGTCTGCTAAAGTCTTACTGTAAAGGTCCTCCCTAAAACAAAACCCCACATAACCATTAACAGCCCTCAAAGGCACCTAAAATTTGATTAAAGAGGGTTAGAACTGGCAACAGATTTGACGGTAGCTATCTTTTAAGGGGTCATATGATGCGATTTCAAACTTTCCTTTCTCTTTGGAGTGTTACAAGCTGATTATGAATAGATAAGATCCCTGAAGTTGCAAAGACTAAAGTCTCAAAACCAAAGAGATATTCTTTATCAAAGTTAAGACTCTGCCACTCCCCCCAAAAATGGCTCGTTCTAACACGCCCCCACATATCTACCTCACTATGTGGAAGTATTTGCATAATGCCGCCCAAATGTTCACGCAAAGAAAGAAGGCGTGGTTTCAGTAACCGCAGTTAGTGTTGAAGCAGCATGTCAGGGAGACGCTGTGTGTTTCTAGGCGAAAGCAAAAGCACTTTATTTGGTCTTCCGAAAGTAGATGCATT